GAAAACATGGGCGACCAGCAGAAGTAAAGGTGGGGAGATGGGAAGTATGCTCAAAGAACACGATAGATCTGTATGAAAATAGTCTTTGTAATGCATTATCATGTACAATGGAAACACACCAATGGAAATAAATATATAAAATCTAAGATTTAAGAAAATGTGAAAATCTATGAGAAAAGCTAAAAATACCCCAATCTCTACATTCAAGAGAGAAATGCTAGACATTAGGAGGCACTCTGTGGTGTGCAAAAACATACTGTGACTTTCCATATGCTACTGAACGTTTGTGAGAGCTGCAGCTTCCAGCCGAATGACCTGACCCAGATCTGTCAGGCCATGCTTGGCTTGCTCCAAAATAGATCTTGCCTGCCTAGTTGGAGAAAGAAAATTCTGCAGGCTTTAAATAATTCACACAGAAATGAAGCCTGCTGGAAATTAAGCAGACACGTGGAAGATTCTTTAATTTTATTTTGAATGTTACTATCTTTCCACTAGGTAAGGTGGTGTATGGTTCAAAAACCTGACATAAAAAACTGTCCATGTTGAAAAGTTTCATTCCAAATCTTATTTCTGTCAACTTCATTCCCTATGTCCCACAACACCATTGATAACCACTTTCCTTAGTATTTTTCAATATTCATTTGTATATATAGAAATACATTTTATTCATAGTCTCCTATCCTCTTCTGCCCAGGACACAAAAAATAGTATTTATTATATTGTTTCACCTTTTTACATACATCCTGAAGATATTTATATGATAGACAATGAACTGGCTCTTTATTTCTCCACGGTTGTGCTGAATTACAAAGGGTAAAGTTAACTGAGTGCTCTTTAATGCTGTGAGCTATTTCTAACCTTCTGCTATTAGAATGAAATAATGAATATATAATCTTGTATTAGCTTTCCATCACTATAACAAATACTGACAGTTGACTGATAAGGGGGAGACGTTTATTTTGGCTTGTAGTTTTGCAGTTTTAGTCCATGATTAATTAGCCTCCCTTGCTTCGGGACATGGCAGGGTATCATGTCTGGAGCACAAAGCAGAACAAGACCACCCACCTCATGGTCAGAGAGCAAAGAAAGAGGAAAGGATCCAGGTCTTACAGTCCTCTTCAGTAGCAAGGGACCTAAAGACCTTCCATTAAGCCCCAACTCTTACCACTTCCCAAAGATGCTCCCTCTGGGGACCAAGCCTTTTAGCACATGGGCATGTGGGCTTTTACGATCCAAACTATACCAAACCTTCAATATGAAAGAGAAAATTATTTTAGATGAATGCACAGAATAACGTGGATGAGAACAACTTGGCAATTAGCAAAGCCAAATGTCCCCTTGTGGACCCAGGAATTTGGGGCTTGTGGGATATTATAATCAATTAGATATGTAGTGAATGACGAGGCAGATTTTTTTTTTCCAAGGGGAAGTTTTTCTTGATTTGTTTTCCAAGTGGAAAATGCGCCGGGCGGTGGTGGCGCACGCCTTTAATCCCAGCACTCGGGAGGCAGAGCCAGGCGGATCTCTGTGAGTTCGTGGCCAGCCTGGTCTCCAAAGCGAGTTCCAGGAAAGGCGCAAAGCTACACAGAGAAACCCTGTCTCGAAAAACCAAAACCAAAAAAAAAAAAAAAAAAAAAAAAAAAAAAAAAAAAAAAAAGGAAAATGCTTGGTTCTTGATTATTTTCCCCCTAAGTGAGATGCTTATCAGGTACTGGAGCTCACCTGCATAGCCCAGGCCATTAAGCTTAACACGTTTTTAGCATTTAGAAGATAATGTCAGTTTGTTCTTAGGAGGATGGGAAATAATTGCAAAAGCCTATTCTTAGTCAGTGTTCCACATTCTGAGAAATGTTTTCAAGACTCATGATTGCGCTTCTTTAAAAAGTACTCCCTGGGGACTGGGGAGATGGCTCAGCTGTTAAGAGCTCTGGTTGTTCTTCCAGAGGACCTGGGTTCAATTCCCAGTATCCACATGGCAGTTCACAACTGTCTCTAACTCTAAGATCTAACACTCTCACACAGACATACTTGCAGGCAAAACACCAATGTACAATCAATCACCGAAGCCACAATCTCATCTAATGGCCCACATAACATAAAAATAAATTTTTAAAAAGAAAGGAAAAAGTGTTCCCCGCCTGACATGGACTTGGGAACTAAGTGGATATAGTACCGTAGATACTGTTAGTGGCCCATTAAATATTCATGCCCCTTCCTTCTAGTTCTTCTCATCACATAACATAGATTAGCCTCTTTCCCATCACAGTGGTGGAGCCTGATTCATCTGAATTAACCATCGCAACATGCCCTCTGAAAATGCTTGGCTGAAGTATTTCCAGATGGCTTGGTTTGGGACAATGGACGCTGGAAGACACACCATCTGATTGGGTAACCTAGGTTTTAGGGAGAGAAGTCATCGGTACTCTTTCCTTGTGGCCTAATGGGCAAGGTCTCAAAGTTCTGCTCAGACTCATGGTGAGGAAGTGATTCAATTCATAATTCTTGAAGTCATCTGGTCAGTGCCCTGACCCAGCCACAGCTACTCCATAGGTATCTTGGTAAAATAGGGCTTGATAGACTAACAGGCATGGGTACCCAGGGCTCCTTCCAAGTCTTTAAATAACTTTTTAAAAACTTCGATAGAAAGAAGCTGTGGAGATCTAGGTTTTCCACCCACCCCTTACTAGGAACTAGCCTGAATTCGTTTTCACTCACTGACACAGAGACAGTGCTCTGAGAACATGGCAGTTCACCTGTCCATCAATGTTTCTCTCTACAAATTCTGATTCATCTTTAGAACTTGACTCATTCCTTCAAGGCACACCAAGGACTTACAATTTTGTGCTCTTCCAGAGGTCATGCTTAGTTCTGCAATGTAGCAGACACACTGTTTAATTTTAGGGTCTCCATTCTGCTGCCTTTCATTTAGGATTACTGCCCGTGAGTGTGAAGATTGGGTCTGTTTTAGAAGAGTTTTGTTGCTGTTTTGCTTTTAAATTTTTCCCTCTAAACACAATGGTTTAGAATAAGCCAACTGACATGTCAATTTGTTCCAAGGATACAATTGGAATTGGAACTTAAATGTTCCGATGATAAATATTACTTTAGGAAAGAAAGCATTCTATCCTGGTTGCTCATTCTTGAATGGTCAGAGATTAAATACAAGGTGATGGGCACACAGGGAATAACCCCCCCCTCGTGGTGTGTGTGTGTGTGTGTGTGTGTGTGTGTGTGTGTGTGTGTGTGTGTGTGTTTCAAAGGTAGTTTACATACTGGGAAGAAGCATGGATTTTACAGCCTGAAAGCAGACTTGCTTACTTAATTGGCAATGCCCTGCATAAGAGTACAAGTGTGATGCCCTTTGTTAAAACATTAATTGCATGACAGTGACGATAAAGGATTAAAGCAAGGCAGGGAGTTCCATGGCACCTGCCCAAGAGCCTTCAGTTCAGCTCTCACCTCTGCCTCTCCAGACCTTCATGGCTTTAGACAAGCCGCCCTCTGAGAGCCTCACTGTTCCAGCTATAAAACAGTGACAACACATCCCCTCTTTCGTTGTTGTAGGGTGAGATGGTAAGGGCTTGACCCAGTGAGAGATGGAGGGAAGACTCGGTGGTTAAGAGCACTGGTGGCTCCTGCTAAGGACCCTGGTTCAGTTCCCAGCACCCACATGGGGGCTCCCAACCATTCATGACTCTAGTTCCAGAGAATCTGATGCCGTCTTCTAAGCCCCCTGGATACAGGCACACACATGGTGTACACACAGACACACACACAGACACACACACAGACACACACACACACACACACACACACACACACACACACACACACACACACACACAGGCAAAGCACTTGCACACAAAAAGTATTTAAAAAAATCTTTGATGCGCAACAATCACATATTCCCATTCTTCTTTCTTCATTACATGGTGATGTTGGTGAATTCCAAGGTAACCTGGGCTAAGTTCCCCTGTCTCAGAAAAACGAAAGCAAAAAACAAAACTAAACTAAAAAAACTAACAACAGGCAAAAAGAAAGCCCATAAGTAATAAGGTTTTTTTAGTAAATAAAACTTGCTATGTAACTATTGGTGTTCTTGGCACCAAATGCACGAGAAAATTTACTATACTATAATCTATCTTACAGGTATTCATAATTGAGTATATAAAATGATTAAATATGGGGGACATAAGGAAGTAAATCATATTTTGTTAATTAACTTGAAGACTTTACTTCTTTAGGAACCTTACCGAAATCTATATTTAACTGTCATGTTAAATAACTATTTCTACAAAAACAAATTATTCCTACAAAATGCCATAAGTATATATATGTATGTATAAAGTATATATATGTACGTATACATACATATATATACATTAAGCTTAGACTTTTAAAATGCAAATTTAATTACAAGAAAATGTATTGACAGAAACAGAAAACAATATATGAGTTACTATAAAAACAAACCAAATCTGCTATGACTGGTTGCCTTAAATTGACATACCTTTGCCTATTAGCTACTGCACAAAAGAAAATGTAACCATTGAGAGTCTCAATACAGCACATCTAAATCCTATCTGTCACTAAGGAGAAAACCAGGAAAGTGGAAGTGAGCTAAACTTGCAGGGAATATTAAAGTTGGTTGACTTAGCAAACTTGAATCTTAATGCTCAATAGAATGATGTAACAGAGCTGGCCTTTATATTTTGGTAAACAAGTGAGTGATCACTTTTGGTTTGCCAAGCTTGGTTTCCCACTCTTTCACTGAGAACCAGGCTGACCTCTGTTTATGATCTTAGCTACAGTACCACGGTAAGCCTAGCTCTCAGGAATGGCAAATGGGGCTACGTCTTCCTTTTTTCATGCTAGTACATTCATCTTAGGATCCTTTAACTCATAAATCTTAAGCTACAGGAAGACATCTGAGGTTGAGGATGAGTAAGTTATGAGGTAGAAGATACTGATAATCTTAAGAAGACTTCAAAGGCACAGAGTGGACTCTGGTTAATCTTAAATGTATTCTAGGTGGTAGAGTTGAATATTAATATTAATTTTACAACAGTAACAACATCATAGTAAAGTGGTTTTGTACTTAAAAGTATAGTAAATGAATTATCTTTGCTTTGCCATAATACTAAGGCACAAATATCTGAAGTATTAAGGTGGCAACAGGAAGCAGAATTTTCCTTATGGAAAGAGATGGCGGAGTTTCGCATTAAGTTCCCTCTCCTTGCTTAAAAGATCCAGGCTGTGCTTTTTGAAGGCTTCTGATTGAAGACGCAGCTCGTCATAAGCCTTTTGGATCCCATCTACCCTACGCTGAAGCTCGCGAACTCTCAAGTTGCTGTCAACTGCCACTGCCTCCTGCTCAAAACGTTCTAGTGCATGCTTCTTGGCCATGGCCGCTGTCTCCAACTTCTCCTCCAGCTGGCGGATCTCCGCCTGTTTGTTCTGCAGCACCTTGCCTCTCTCCATGGACAGCTGCAGCAGCTCCTCTTTCTCACGCGTGACAGTTTGCAGCCTCGCCTGCAGCTCCTGGCTCAGGCTGTTATGCGCCTCCTGGTCCTTCGCCATCTGTTCGGTGGCCTGCCGGTGTTGCTGCCTGAGGCTCTGCAGCTGGCTGAGCAGCTGCTCTGTCTCCTTGGCATGGGCACAGGCCTGCTGGTTCTGCAGTCCCAGCAGTTCCTTCTCTCGGGCCTGTGCCTGGCTGGCATCGTGAGCACATTTCTGTTTCAAGACCTCCAGTTCCTCTGCCAGGGCCTTGTTGTGGGCAGTGAGCTGCAGTACCTTGGCCTCCTGGTCTTTCAGAGCCTGACTGAAGAGGCTGTTATTCTCCCGCTTCAGCTTCTCATTCTCCTCCTTCAGCTTGAGGTTTTCATTCTTGTGCTCGTCCTTGAAGCGGATCATCAGCTCGTGGTTGGCTGCCAGGGTCATAAAGCGACCCTCCAGCTTTTGGACGTGCTCACTCTGGGTCCTCATCTTCTCCATCTCCTGCATCCTCTTCTCCTCCAGCTCAGCGTTGAGCAGTTCCAGTATCTGGCAGCGTTCCAGAGCCTCATCGGATCTGCGTTTCAGGATGCAAATGAGCTGGGATTGCTCTTGGATGCGGGAGCGGAGCATTGCCTTCTCGCCCTTCTCTTCCTCAGACAGTCCCCTAAGGTTGGCCAAAGCTTCTCTCAGACCGTCCATTTCCTTAAACCCCAATTCTTCATCCTGGTTTTGCAGGTTTTCGTTTTGCTTTCCTATGAGCTCGTCAGGGGGTGGGGTGTCCATCCTAAGCGTCTTCCCGTCCTGAGGCATAGACGCTTTGACTGAGAGCTGACTTCAGTCTTTCCCCCTTTGATTTCAAAAGGGCGTTGCTATGGATTCTTAGCACTCTCCAGCAGTTGGTTTTTCCAGTAAGGAGTCCTGCAATTGGTGGGCGGACCTTCAGAATGCAGTGAGGTAATAGGGGGCGTCCAGAGCCAATCTGGTCAGGCTACGCCTGCCTGTTTTTTTTATTTTTAACCTATCACAGCTCTCAGCTCACTGCCACGGTCCAGCCTGCGCAGCACCGAGAAGCCAACCACAAAGTCAGCTTTCTATTCACTACAGGGGGCCTGACTCCGCCTGATTTCTGCTTAGAGTAAACAAAGCAAGCTTAAAGAGACTCCTTCCTCCCCTTGGTCCTGAAAAGAACCTGCTGTCTGTAGAAACAAAGGGGCATCTGGACCCAGGTGCTTAGCTCAGTTCTAAATGAAATTTCTTCTGTTCCTTTAGGGCCGTCCTTATGCCTGGGCACTCAGCACTCCTGTTTTAATCTATTGGGAAGATAAGTGTACAGAAGGAGACACAATGAGCAATACAAATGTGATCAAATCAGCAAAGACAAACAAAAACATGACGCTTACCCTTGTGCCTAGCATACTGGAGAGACGGAGATAAGTACGTTGAGCAGAGGCCAACGGTAAAGATCAAATATCTTTAATTAGCTTGTCAGATAAGATTGACTTTTTATATATAAAGCTTATAGGAATTAATAGAACATCGTGTTAAAAGAGAAACGAACCATTACATTCGAAAACAGAGACAGCTGAGAAGTGAACCTCACAAATGATCCAACAAATGCAAACGAAAATTAGATAGTATTTCATCCACCAAAATCCGGTTAAAAAATTCTCCTATCATTTATGACTACCTATCCTTTAGGACTTGTCAGAGAATGCTGGATAAAAAGCCCTCGCTATATTATTGGTGAAAATCAGTTAAGAGTATCTATGCTAACTGAAAGTACGTCAGCTGTACTGTGAACTCGTAATCGCCCTTGTCAGGAGCTCATTGTTTGGATAATAATCTGAAAGAAAACATTTTGTGCATAGCTTTTGCTGTCTGCCTTATAATAATTAAAAAGCTTGGAACCTGAATACCCCCAAAGAAGCAGCTACTGAGCATTATCATGTTTAAAGGAAATTTTTCATTAGTTAGAAAGATAACTGAAGAAAAGAAAGGTACAAAACTTGACGTTCAAAATAAACTTGGTATTTTTTAACTTAGGGAGAGAGAAATACTTGGCTCTTTGTGTAATGACTGTGTTGGGGAGTTAGACCTCTATGGTAACAAAGCAGTCTATGTGCCCTTGTAACGATTGGGGGGATGTTTAAATACTTCAGCTTTCCCTGGGAACAACACATAAGACAAAGGGGTTGAGATGTTCCCTTTGGTCTCAAATATTAGGGATTATTTCCCAGATCATGAATTTCTTGTCTATGCATGGATTGCAACGCCACGATCTAGAAACTTTCCGAAACTGGATATTTTAGACTTTTAAACTTTTTTAACTGATAAAAGCATAAACATACATATTAAAAGGGCACTGTACAACATTTCATATATATATATCCACATACATCCAAACAGATTAAATATGTCTTCTCACACTTTTACTTCGGTCACTTCCTTCCTTCTTTCCTTTCTTTCTTTTTCTTTTTTTCCTTTTTCTGTGAGAAAGCGTCTCATATAGCCCAGGCTGGCCTCAACCTACTATGTAGTCAGGTGTGACTCTGAACTTCTGATCCTCCTATATCTACCTCTGGAGTGCTGGATTATAGGCATGAGCCTCCACACTAAGCTTATTTATTTGTTTTTTATGGTGAAAAGGTTTAAAAATCCTTTCTTTGACCTTTTTGATATATATAGCTTGGCATTGCCTGCATTCACCCTACTATTTGAGGACATAGCAGAATTTCTTGCTCCCATCTACATTTAACAGTAACTTAGTACCCGTTCTGGTTTGCTCCTCTGCTGTTGAGATAAACACCATGACCAAAAACTGCTTGTGGAGGGAAGGGTTTATTTCATGTTACAGTCCGTCATCGAGATAAGCCGGGACAACAGCTTGAGGCAGGAACAGAAGCAAACACAATGGAGGAATGCTGCTCACTGCTTTGCTCAGCCTGCTTTCTTTCACCACTCAGGCCCACCTGCCCAGAAGAGGCCCCGCCCACAGTGAACCTGGCCCGTCCATATCAATCATTCATCAAGAAAATGTGCCACAGACATGCCTGCAGGCCAGTCTAACAGAGGCAGTTCCTCACCTAAGGTCCTCCCTTCCAAGATGACTCCAGCTTGTGTTGGGCTGACAAAAGCTAACCAGCACACTACCCATCATCAATCAACGTCTCCCTGTTCCTTCTCACCACAGCAGGTTCTGGGAACTCTAGCCAGCAGCAACATGGTGGCTAGAGTGTTGTTGTATTTATACAACAAACATTGGCAAGAAACAGAAAACAACATCACTGGCTCCAGCCTTGCCAATAAGCCAGTCAACTGGTTAGTGTGTCTTTAGTCAGCTAGCTGCAGGGTGTTCCTTATGTAACGGCCACGACTCCGTTACCACTTTTCAACTCTGAATTGGTTTGGTCTGCTAAACTGAAATTTTAGCAAACATTGAAGTTTTGTAAAAATGGATGCCAAAGACTTTTTAAAATGTAAATTAACCAGGCTACAGTGGATAGCTCAAAACGTGGTCACATAGACTGCCCTGGCTAAAAATCGGTGGGTCACAAAACGAAACAAAATAAAGAACAACAAAAGGAGAGGAATCTGGGGAAAGACTTGTGGGGAAGAGGAGGAATTCTCAATGGGAAGGCAATAAGAGAAGGTGGGGGTGGTGAGAGTTGTTAAAAATGGATCATATAGTTGTATAAACTTGTCAGAGAATTTTTATCAATAAAAATGGGCAAAGGAAATACCAAAAATGTAAGTAAACTTATTGTAACTTTTTTTTCTCATTTTATACATCTTCCTTAAATCTCAAGCTACACTGCATGAACTAGAAATTGTACAGTCAAGACAAGTGACCAGAAAATTAGAATGGCTCTCTTCTCATTTTACATACAGCAAATATTGTATTTGTCAATTGCCTTATATAGTTATATGGCATAACATATTGAAATTACAAAATATATTTCCTAAGAACAGGAAAAAGTTCCAAAATAATAAGAGTAGTTGTCTCTCCGGGTTGAGATTACGGTCTCCCTCATCACCTTCCTAAGCCCCTCGCACATAATGGATTTTCAGTGATATTTATCTGTTGCATAGTTTTTCCACATTAAAAAATTTATTCTTGTCAGACAGTGGTGGCGCATGCCTTTAATCACAGCACTTGGGAGGCAGAGGCAGGCAGATCTCAGTGAGTTCAAGCCCAGCCTGGTCTACAAAGCAAGTTCTAGGACAGCCAGGACTACTATACAGAGAAACCCTATCTCGAAAAAAAAAATTTATTCCTTTATGTACAAATTAGCTTCTGTAACATAACATCAAATCCATAGATTAAAAAAATCAAAGCTAAGAACTTTAAAAGATGTATTGAGGGGTGGGAGGAGGAATAGCTAGCACATAGGATGTTTGGGAAAGCTTCCTAAATATCAATTATATATATATGTATATATATACATATATATGTATATATGTATGTGTATGTATATATGTATATATATATATATATATACTAATTGGAGATTCCCTACACAGGGGATAATGTCCTCCCCAGAAGCCATAGATCACCAAGCAAAAAGCTAAATGCCAGATATAAGATACTTGCCTTCAAGTTGTTGATCACAAGAATCCCAGAGACCCCCAAAACAACACAAGATATTTCCACTGCTCTTGGTTGCCCACTAGAACTTGATAATAAGACCCTATTGCTCAAGACACCACACGCTTTTGTCACAGAATATGGAAACGCAAGCTGATACTGACCTGGAAGAGTCTTTCTTCCTGGCTAGCGTTCATAGTGCTGGAAGGTACTCTGGAGCCTTGCTGGGGAAAAAGAGTCATCCACAGTCATAGGGCCAAGGAAAGAATCTATTACTATTGTGTTATTAAATGGGCATAGATTGAACTTCCTTCTAAACACTTATCTTTATACCTATGGATTAGAGCAGCTCTCAACCTTCATCAGAAAAGCTTCTTTTAGCAGTAGATAGTGCCTAAAACAGAGAGTCACAACTGGTCAAACTTCAAAGAATAAAAGACTATAGAGTGTTCAGCTCTAAGTGGAGCATCTATATTACCAACCCACCATCCCCCCAAAGCTCAAGGATCATCATAGAAGAGGGAGTAGAAAGATAACAAGAGCTAGAGGTTTACAAGGACTGCCTCAAATCAGTGTTTCCTAGACACCACAAAGGTCCACTCTGGATGTGAACTCAGCAGTCATGGGTCCATGCACATGGCCCTCCATAGGATCAAGCCAGTCAAAATTTCCACATGGATATGTCATGTAGCAGTTTCCTCCAAGATGGAAACCTTCCATTCTTCCAGGATGTTCTTTAAGCAGAAAGGTAAACAACTAAAAATAGCTTCAGGAAGTCCCTGAAACTGATCAGATCCATTAGGTCCCTCCCTGCCAGAGTAAGCAACAAAAGCTGAGTCCCTTTCAGATTAATAGAGCTAAACTACAAAGAAGACTCTCAGCCAAGTTAAGCTGCAAAGAAGACTGAGACCAGACCAGCTGCCTGGAAGAAGCAGAAACCAGCCAAGCTGCCTGGAAGAAGTTTAGACCAACTGAGGCACCTGGAAAGGACACTCTCCAACCTGGCGAGCTGCTTGCAAACTGTGCAGTGTGTGCTCCAGGTTCCCAGCTTTTGTGAGCTGTCCCCCATGCTCCCATAAGTTACCCCAACACAACTCATTGGTTCATCAAGTTGGACTTCGGTGCTATCCCTACTTTGGTTTGTCATGGTATCTCTTTCTGAGGTAAGGAGATGTGTGTCTTGCATCTCTCCAGGAAAAAGTTTTGTCACACAACAGAGTGGGAGTGGAGCCCCACCTAGAGCTGAGGAAGTCTTGGCAGTTGATGGTTACTGGGAAAGGAATCACCAGTTTTCTTCAGAGATGCTACCCTGCCCGTGTTCCAGCTGACGGTCTTACACCTATTCACAAACTGGCAGAACTAACTAGACTGAGTGATTAA